CATTTGCATTAGTTTTAATAACACACCCCGAAGTCCCAAGTTTGAGGTCTCTTCTTTATGCAAAATTGATCAAAGCATATAACATCAAAGTATGTTTGATCAAAATTTAACTTTATGACATTTATGTACAATACATATCATTTTTGTACGTTTATAAATTTTGAAATATCCATCTAAATATTAAAATCGATTAGAAAACATATTTAGTCTCACGCTTGGGTGGATCAAAATCTAGTATATTATGAAAAAGAAACTTATATCTTTATAAGTTATGATAGCAAATTTCAGCTGAAAAACCCAAGTGGTGGTGGCTTAGTGGTAAAAAGGCTCAGGAGAAGGAGATAAACCCAACCCAACCTGAGTTCGATTCCCCCAGGGTTCACCTCCATTTGACCAGTCAAAATAGTGTCATATTTTAGGCCCATTAAAAAATCTAGAGAGTGGATTACTCGACGGCTACACTCATTCTGAGGGATTAGTCGGGTGGTAAAAACTCAGACACCCCCGTTATTAAAAAAAAAATCAGCTGAAAAGTAATTAATTTTCTTGTAGGTTCCATTGTAACTCACGTATTACACATTTATGATTTGCACAAAAAGAAATTCTTACACATTTTCTTTTTTTTGCTAAACAATTCTTACACATTTTCTATGTTGTATATCTTGCAAAATTATTTTTGTAGTACTTTTTAGGTTTCATTTATAATCTTAACAAAAATAAATGTGTGTTTGAGTTGTACAATAATGGAAGCATAAGGTTTATATGGACTCCATGTCTACCATGATTTCCAAATGAAATGAACATTGGGGTTTTTAGTCGTGTCTCCCAAATTGTTTTTCTTTCCTTTTTGTTAAAAAATATTCGACAAAACCATGCATAGTGAATCGCTCTTTTACTAATCCTACACTTTTGTTGAAATATCGAAATTCTAATTATCAATTGGTAATCAATGGATCAAATGATTTACTATTTGATGTAGTCATGTAGACCTTGAATGATAAAAACACGTTGTCCAATGAACAGTATTTGTTCTCCCTGTAAACAGATCCAATTGGTTCATATAGGTCAATCCGGTTTTACGGGTTTCTTGGTTTCTACCAAAATATATACAAATATTTTTGAAAAATTTGGTGAAAAGCGAGAAAAACAATGGAGAACATATAAGGAAAGTAAAAACAAAACAAAAGTAAACAACATATATACGACAAATCCTAGATGATACTATTAAGGTCTCTGATCGGTAAAACTACTGAATGTAATGAATTCCGTAGAGTTAAATATGGTGGCATATTTTAAGTAATAGTTTGGTTGACAAAAAAAAAAAAATAGGGATGAATAAATTGCCGAACATAATTAACTAGAAAAATTGTGTGATTAGATCACATTTCCTAAAAAGAAAAATCAAAAGAAAAGTCATTAAATATAACAGTTCCACACTAATTGGGACTGTCCACAATCACAAAGTTTGTGTCTATCGTCGTCTTAGGAAACATGTATAGTCGTAAACGCTTTGTTGTTGGACGTATATATTACGATTACGATTTGTGTTTTCAACGGAACAAGACATTGGTGATTCAGCGAGGACCACATGAGCTATTATGGAAGAGAGATGATCTCACTAGAGTGATGAAATGCAAGTCTTTATGAACAATTTCCCCAAAGACAAGACATACTTGTTGAAACGATGGTCTGATGTCATTCAATGCATTTGATTTTGACTAGGAGGAACTTTACGATTCAACCGCTAAAAATGTCACCAAGACAGTCAAGTTTTTCAAAAACAAGTCTACTTTATTCTCTCTAACAATAATTTATTTGCCTACGCAATCTTAACCCTGGCAAATTGGTTATAGAGAATACCATCATTACATATAATAAGAATGATTCAAATCAAGAAATATCAAAGGTTTCATTTTATAAAATCTTTTTGTTGAGACTTGCACGTTATACTTTGTTATTTTTTTCATATTTATATTCCACATTTAATGGAATTAGCCCAACGAAACTCAG